CCGGGCACGGCTGCCTCTCATTTGGGTGGCTTGTTCCTAATCTCAAGCGCAGAGATGTTGTGTTTCGGAGGAGCGATGGTGCTCTTGTCTCCCTGTTGCAAGGCACTAAGAAAAAAAGCCACAGCTAAAGAAATCACAGGTAAAGGTGGGAACAGATACAGTCTGTTTCCATGTTCAGTGTCTCCAAACCACCCCCCTCCTCGGACACACGCATACACACACAAAATTTCTGACAAAGAAAACAAGATATATAACCATTCGGGATGTCTTGCTTTTTTCTCTCTCTTTTGATTGCAGCTTTAAAAGTAGAAAGTGCAGTCGCTGCCTCGGGCACCAAATCTGGATGCACCAAATCCCACAACATGTCTACTTGGTTTGGAAATGAGTGTTGTGTATCTTTAAGGAAGGGGTGTGGCTACAAGTGGAGGTTAAAGGTGGAGGGGAGGGGCTTTGACATCCAGACCAACACTACAGGGAGGGTTTCCCCCCCTAAAATCTACTTTAGATCACCCAGCATAGTTGCAGAAAATAACAATTAAATGTGTAAATGTAGGGGGAGCATGTAGTTATTCCCGAGCGAGCAGCTTCTTTTGTTTTATGACTCCTCCCTGTCCTGCAAACAAGTCATCGTTCATCAAGGGCGGCTTGTTGGCGAAATGGATCTGCTGGCGAGCTTTCAAACTCACCGCACAGCACTCTAACATATTACCTTTGGAAAGCAAAGTCAGTAATCAATGTGACGCAAGGATTTGAGGAAAAGAATCTGTCAGCTTTCAGCCACCGATAGCTTTGGACCTGATCAGTATTAATCGCAGTTTTCCCCTTGCCCCCACGAAGAAAATCCGGCTCAGTGACTATACGGAAATATATTGCTTTTGCACCTCGGAAGGTGGGGATTCCCGGTTTCACAAGAAAGCCGGCAAATCCGCTCTGGGCTTTCATCCAAACTTTTGCAGAGACTATCCACTGCAGCTACACGTAGACTAATCAGAGCTTTGGAAGTGTGTCGTGGTTATGTGCCGTCGAGTTGCCTTGAAATTATGATGACGCCCCCCATGAACAAGCAAGCCGTCTCCAACGCGTCCTGTCCTCCACAGCCCTTGCTCAGCTTGTCTAAACTCACACCTGGCGGTTCCTTGAGAGAGAGTCGGTCCATCTCGTGTTTGGTCTTCCTCCCTTCTACTTTTCCTGGCGTTGTTGTCTTTTCCAGGAAATCCTGCCTCCTCATTATGTGTAGAGACCTTTGGTCTAGATGGGCAGGGTAGAAATCCAATAATAAACAAACAAACAAACAAATAAATAACTAAATAAATAAATAAATGTGCCCAAAGCGGGACAGCCTCAGTTATAGCATTTTGGCCTCCAAAGAGAGTTCAGGCTTAATTTACTGTAGGACCCGTGTGTTTGTCTAACTCAAATAAGGGATTCAGATTGATATTTCCTGAAGGTTAGCAAGATTATCCCGTGGCAAGGAAAAACAGCAGCCTTGTGGCATCTGAACATCTAGCAGGTTGTACTTTGACTAGGCTTGAACTACGTATAACTTATTTTGTTTTTAAAAGGTTATTCCTTCATTCATTAGAAGGGTGAGGTTGGGAATTTTGGGCAATGCAGTTATATTGGCTACCAGCTCCTGAGCATGGCCGGTGGTGAAGGATGATGGAAGTCGTCGTTTCAAGATCTCTTGATGAGACAGAGATCTCCAGAGTTGGAACAAACCCCCGTTGCTGGAGTTTGGGTGGAAAAAAAATCCAAAAAACGGTGGTTAGGTTGAAAGGAGAAGTATATTTCTGTTCTCTTCCTCTTGGCATCCTATGTTCCTGAATGGGAACAATGGTATGATCACGCCTGCAAATCAAATATTGCTTAGACCCTACAGTTTCTCATGATCTCAAGGATCAACAACCACTGTTTTGCATTTTATGAATGATTATTTAAAAATATTTCATTTCATTGGTCTAAAGAAGTAACTTTTAGAACTCCAGGGGCCGGGGCCTTTCCCTGACAGAGGCTTTTATAACTTATCAGGATCCAATGAATGAAAACCACTCCCTTCATCCTATCTGGACGGTCTTGTTCTGCCTTAAGGATCGCCCTCCTCCGAATTCAGCCCCTTTCCCCCATTTTCAGCCACGTTGCAGATGGTCCCGTTTGCATCTCATGGAGGCTGAAATTATCATTCAAATTAAGTTAATTTTGAAAAGGCAGGGGGACCTGCTTGCTTTTTGTCCGGCCGAAACACGGAAGGGAATGAGTGCGGGCGTGTTCCCCCCCCCACTTTGCTTTCCTGTCTCTCTGTCTCTCTTTTTTTTTAACCGATGGAAAAATGTTCCAGCAACAGAACCGGCCCCACACGACTCATAATGGGGTTTTGCAAATATATGAAATGAATCGGTGGAGCCAAAATCAGGGGGATAAATTCTCGGGGAAAGTCTTTGGAATAGGAAGCGGCAAAAGTGGTCACAGGTCTACAAAACAAGCGTTCTTCCGTTTATAACTTCCCTTTTCCTCTTCAGGGTCCAGAGCATGGTGTACATGCATCTCCTTTCTCTTGTTTTCTCAACCGTCCTGCGAAGTAGGGCCAGGCTGACAGGGAGGGTCTGGACCGACAACTCGCTTAAAAATTAACAAGTAAACATCACTTGTTTGGCCAGCGATGTAACTCAGCACCTATTTATTTGCCCTTGAGTTAGCAGCTAGTTACAGGGAAGTAATTACTTGTAACTAATTATTCCACAGGTTGTGAGTTATTGCAAAGCTGTGATCGTTCCTGTGGAGGTAACTTCAGCCCAAAGCAGCTGTTTGGGGAATTGGGGGACCCCGCTTGGCCTCAGAAGGGGGTCCATTTCAGGCATCCTCAGCGAGCAGCTTTTGCCCAGGGTTTGGAGAATGGCGGCAATACAGCACATTATTTGCAGGGACCGAGAATGCTTGGAGTTGGCAAGCGATTGTCTGCCTGCTCCATCTAAGGAAGCAGAAAATCACATTGGTCGTCCTCCATTTCCTGTTAAGCCGGCGAGCCCCCCTATTCTAGCAGGCGCAAGCGGTAAGCCACAGATAACAGGCTGGTTGCAGCTGATGAGGGTCTCTTAATATGATTCGGAGGATTATAAAATTGGAATATACCAACAGGAGCTAGTTGTTTTCCTTGGCGGCCCCACTTTTTATATCCATTTTGCTTGGTAGGCAAAATTCTACCTCTCTCGATTTCTTTTTGCTTCCAGCTACAACTTTTACCCCCCCCCCCCCCCGTAGAGAAGTAAATCTACAGCCAACCCAAGACTCTTGAGCTCAGAGGTGGGGTGGGGGGGGCTACGGAGTGGAAATGAGTTTTCCCGGCCTATTTATGATCTGCTGAGCTCCCAAGATTTTGCCTTTAAAAAAATAAAAATTCTCCCCAGTTCTCATTCCTGTATTCCCAGGCCCTAACTGGAGAATTCTAGCAAAGAGACTCGGAAATTACTTGGATGGCTTGTTGGGAACAACCAGCCTTTTGCAAAATCTCCAGGGCTTCTGGCATCCCAGAAGGTGAACTTAAGCAAGGGGGAAAGTACTGGAAGTGGGAAGAGGCCGGTTTTGACTTTCTTTCTCCTTCTCTTGAGAAGCGGCTGCTGTCAACCCCGGATGTGAAACTTCAGACAACCAGCCATACCTAGGGACTCTGGGAGGTGGCGTTAGGAAAGAACCTGACCCGAAGCGACAGATCTCGTGGTCATAACATCGGGCCTAAATTTTAGACGCTGCCTGATGAAGATCTAGGTGGTAGCTGAAAGCTTACACGCTTTGCAGAAGTTGTAATTGATTTATCACCCAAGTATGAATTTTCTTTTTCTTTTTTTTTCTCTCCCCTCGAGGATCAGTGTGCTATTTTTAAAAACCAAAAACTGGTGAAATCTACTTGTTATCCACTTATACTTCACTGTGGAATAACATTCATTTTCTTTCGCCATATGCTGGACCCTCCTCTTGCTCTTCTTGTAATCTCAAAACTGGTTGTTATCTGTTTTGTTGATTTGTTTTACACCCATGTCTCACTTCCTTTCGTGTTTACTTTGGCTAATGTATCTTTTGTGATTAAAACCATTGGAAGGCAAACGGGGAAAGGGAAAAACCAACAACTGCCTGGATTTAGAGCTAAATATTTGAACCATGTAATTTATTTAAAAGAGCAGCCTTTAGTTTTAGATATATTTTGGAGTCCGCACGCAGCAAAGCATCCAAAAAATATTTTAGTGTTTTTTCCCCCTCCTTTGTCTTCTTTTTAACAAATGGAATGGCTAACCCAGGGACGCACCATAGTTGTTCCCCCTAGTAGTAAGTTTCTCTCTCCACCCATCCTCCTGGATTTAGGCGGAGAATGAGCTTCCGGATCTCATCATAAACAAAGATCAGGAGGCTGAACGGAAAAGCACAGAACCACCAGGGGATCTTGAGCGGGTACATGCGCAACGCCACCTCCATGCCAGGGCAATACGACAAGAAGGCAGCCAAAGTGGTTTCTTCCAAGAGGCCAAAGATCAGGATCCTGTTTCTCATCCCCTGGTGGAACAGAGAGAGCTTCCGGGTCTTGGAGATGATGAGGTCGGCCCACTGTACCACCACGATGCTGACGAAGAAAGCGGTATGGCAGGTGAACTCCACCACTTTCCTCTGCTCAAAAGTCCACTCCTGGCCGTAGCTGTCCTCCAAGTCATTCTTGGACCGGTCGTCCCAATCCAGGCGGAGGCCTAACAAGGTGGTGGGCAGGAACCCGTTTTCAGCCATAATGACGAGGTAGGTGAAGAATCCGGCCAAGGCCTGCATGATCCCGATCTGCCCGTAGGCCAGGCTGATGAGCCGTTCGTTCACCAGCTTGTCCGTCCTGGAGTTGCGCGGCTTCCTCTTCATGATGTCGCTCTCGGCGGACTCGTAGGCCAGGGAGATGGCGGGCACCATGTCCGTACCCAGATCTATGCAGAGGATGGTGATGGTGCCCAGAGGAAGCGGGATGCTCAAGAGGATGAACATCAAGAAAGGCGAGATCTCCGGGATGTTGCTGGTCAAGGTGTAAGCGATGGACTTCTTGAGGTTGTCAAAGATCAGGCGGCCTTCCTCCACCCCCGTCACGATGGAGGCAAAGTTGTCATCAAGGAGGATCATGTCGGCGGCTTGTTTGGAGACGTCGGAGCCAGCGATGCCCATGGCGATCCCGATGTCGGCCTTCTTAAGGGCGGGGGAATCGTTGACGCCATCGCCCGTCACCGCCACAATGGCGCCTTGCCTTTGACACCCTTCCACGATGATCAGCTTCTGCTGCGGGGAAGTGCGGGCGAAGACAATCTCCGTGTGATTCCTGAGGAGGTCGTCGAGTTGGTCGGAGGTCATGTCCTTGAGATCGGAGCCGTGGACCACGCAGGCCTGGGCTTCCCGGGGGTCAACCTCACTGACGGGGATGTTGAGCCGTTCCGCAATGTCTTCTACCGTCTCGGTCCCCTCGGAAATGATGCCGACCCCCTTGGCGATAGCCTTGGCGGTAATAGGGTGGTCTCCTGTGACCATGATCACCTTGATGCCGGCGCTTCGGCACTTCCCAACGGCATCCGGCACGGCAGCCCGAGGCGGGTCGATCATGGAGATGAGTCCCACGAAACACAGCTTATTGATGGGGAAATTGAGCTTCTCTGTGTTGAACTTAAATCCTCTGGGAAACTGGCGTTCGGGGAGATACAAGTGACAGAACCCAAGGACTCTCTCGCCCAGCCCGCCCAGCTCAAGGTAAGTTTTCTGAAAGTCTTCCTGCATCTTCTTGTCCAGGTTGACTTCCTTCCCTTGGATCAGGATCGTTGAACAGCATTCGAGGATTCTCTCGGGGGCCCCTTTCATCACGAGGAGGTGCCCTTTGGGCTTGTCTTCCGCTTCGTGGATGGACAGCTGGTACTTGTTGGTCGAGTTGAAAGGAATCTCTGCCACTTTGGGGTTCTTCGTCCGCATGGTGGCGACTGACCCGTAGGACAGCTCGACGCATTTCAAGAGGGCCGACTCGGAGGCGTCACCGGTCGTGTCTTTCTTGGCCACGGCCACGTTCTCCTGTCCGGCCTTGAAGTCTGCCCTGTTGCAGAGCCCGGCGATGCGGGTCAGGGCTGCCCACGTGGGCGAGCGTTTGCTCAGAATCACCGCTCCCGCCTGCGCCTCTGTGGTGTCAGCTGTGTGGACTTGGTTGTCGAACCACATGTGAGCCACCGTCATGCGGTTCTGGGTGAGGGTCCCTGTCTTGTCCGAGCAGATGGTGGACGTGGAGCCCAGCGTCTCCACGGCTTCCAGGTTCTTCACCAGGCAGTTCTTGCGAGCCATGCGTTTGGCGGTCAGCGTCAGGCAGACCGTCACCGTGGCCAGGAGCCCTTCCGGGACATTGGCCACAATGATGCCAATGAGGAAGACCACAGCCTCCAGCCAGCTGTACCCCAGCGAGAGCGAAAGGATGAAGAAGCTCACGCCCAGGAAGACAGCCACGGCGGTGATGATGTGGATAAAATGTTCTATCTCTCTTGCGATGGGGGTGGGACCCTCTTGCAGGCCGGAAGCCAAGGAAGCAATGCGTCCCATCACCGTACGGTCTCCCGTCAAGACCACGATGCCCCGGGCTGTGCCTTCCACGCAGTTGGTCGAGAAGAAACAGATATTGCGTGTCTCCAGCGGGTTATCGTGGGTGCATTCCGCCGACCGGCTTTGCGGCTCCGATTCGCCCGTGAGAGAGGAGTTGTCCACTTTGCAGCCGCTGGCAGAGATCACTCGGAGATCTGCAGGGATCCGGTCTCCTCCTTTCACCTCCACCAGGTCTCCGACCACCACTTTCTCAGCGTTGATCAGCATCTTCTCGCCGTCTCGGATCACGAGGGCTTGCTGGGGCACCATGTTTTTGAAGGACTCCATAATCCTCGAGCTCTTGGCCTCCTGGTAGTAGGAGAAGCAGCCGGTCACGATGACCACGGCCGCCAGCACCACCCCCAGGTACAGGTTGTCCCTTTCTGCCTTCTCCTCCATCATCTCCTGGATGGTGTAGGCCAGGAAGCAGAGGATGGCCCCGATCCACAGCAGGATGGAGAAGCCGCCAAAGAGTTGCCGGCAAAACTTGACCCACTCTGGCGTAGTCGGGGGAGGCGTGAGGGCGTTGGGGCCGTCCCGAGCGAGGTTGGCTGCGGCCTGGGCATGGGTGAGCCCCTTGGACAGGTCCACCTTGTATTTCGACCCTATTTCCTCCAAGGTCAGTTTGTGGTCGGTAAGATCGACTTCTTTCTTCAGATCCTCTAAATCTTCCCCCTTTTCCTTGGCTTTCTTGAAGCAAAATGGGAACAGCCTTTCGCAGAGGGAGGTTTTTTTCTGCTTCTTCCCCATGACGGGGTGACCGGATGCTCAGCCCCACTTCTCAATCTACCTTCCTCCTACCACAAGGAGGGAAAAGGGCATGGAACCTCAAGCCGGACATGGACCTTCACGGACCAAACTGGCCTTCCATCCCAACAGAAAAGGATGACCGTCCATCGCCTTAGCAATGAAGGAAGGCTCCAGGCCACGCCCCTAGCAACCAGCCACCCAACGAGCCCTTTGTGCTGTCACACGCCCAGGCAACCAGGTAAGCTTCATCTCTTAGCAACAAGAAGCCTACCTGTGGTGGCCGATCCCACCTAGAGTTGACTCAAGGGGGGCTAACTCTGAACTACCAATTAAATTCAGGTGTATTGGTTCGCCGTTCAGCCATTGATTGTATAGATCAGCTTGGGTCAACTCTAGGTGGGATCAGCCATTGAAGTTAGGCCTCGGCTGCTAAGCGACGGAGCTTGCTTGGTTATCCCTTGGCTTCTGATGTGAAATCAGCCGTCAGTTTAGAACGACGAGGACCGTAACCTTGTTTTCTTTTTAAAAGGGAAACAATGAAAAATCAATCCAGGTGGGGCAGCCTTCGTCACAGCCTAATGCCCTCCAGATGTGTTGGAATACAACACCTGTGTATGGCTACCGCCATGGCCTATGTTGTCGGGGATAATGGGAAGCGTAATCCCAAACATCTGAAGGGCATGGGTTTGGGGATGATTGGTACAGGTTGGACTAAGCCAAAAAGATATATGTGTTGACCTGTACTGAGCCAGCTTCCTTTGCTTGTTTACACCCACGTACATATTCATGAAAAAGTGCCTATTAATCATTTTCCTGCCCCCAAGAATGTTCAATGAATTACATGTTTCAAACGTAAAGCAAATTAAAAACGATGTTAAAAGTCTGTTTTTAATAACACCAGTCACAAAGAGTCACACTGGCCTCTGTTTTGCTTCCCAACAGAAAGGTTTCTTCGTAGGAGGCTACGAACCCTGAAATTTTGTAACCCCATAATCATGGACATGGGAGGCTAACCTGCATTTATCCTTGATTGTGGATTTCCCTCCTTCTCTCAAAAGCTATTTTGCCCCTCCCTTTTCAAAGCCAGCATCCCGAAGAAGAAAAGGAACCTCATTAGCAATGGCTTTGGGGCTCCCCCTCAAGAGACACCCCGGCCTTTGGCTGTTCCTCCCTCCCGACGCCATTGAAATTCAGGTTCCTCCACGTCGCCAAAGAGGTGTCAAAGCTGAACAATTGAGCCATCCTTCTGCCGGGTCCTTTGGCTGCTGGGCGTTTTGGGATGTAGAGGACGTCCGCCGAGGCAGCTGAGTCCACAGGCCGGCTGGGTCAGGAGGCCAAAACGGGCCGCGCATCCTGCCAAAAACGGTGCGGCTATTGTTCCGTCTCCATGGGGTTTTCTCTCCCGTGCGAAAAAATGCGCCGTTGCTCCACCATAGCAACTGTGGAGAGCTGCCCCAGCGTGGCTGTCAAGCATTAAAAACCATGTGTGGGGGGGGGGGACTCAGAAGCAAGCAGCAGGGTCTTCCCCTCCAAAGAACAGGCAGATCTGCTGGCTCTTGGCAGGAAGAGGGGCTGTCAAGCATTAAAAACCATGGGTGGGGGGGGGGGACTCAGAAGCAAGCAGCAGGGTCTTCCCCTCCAAAGAACAGGCAGATCTGCTGGCTCTTGGCAGGAAGAGAAATTCCACCAAAAAAAAACAACCTGAATTTCCAAATTACAGTTTTGCAAGAAATCCCTCCTTCTAACTGCGCAGCAGAGAGGTGCAAACCCACCTCCAGATTTTGCTTGAGGTGTAGTTTGAAAATACCCGTGCCCCGTTCCCCCTCCGGCCTTACTTTTCTTCCGGGCAATCTTGAACTGGCCATGGTGCTGAATTCCACTCTTTTTTGGGTGTGGGTGGGTGTAAGGTTTCGTTCAGTCCCCATATCCTTTCCGATTTCAACTGCATTCAGAAGGTAAAGACTTCTCACAAAGAGAGACGCCATCTGTGTTCCCAGCCCTAAAGGCCTCACTCTGGCCGTACAGAGAGCATCGGGGCCATCTGCATATTTTCTCTGCAAGCCTTCACCCGTGGAGGGATCACACACGTCCCTGCGTCAGAGAGGTCAGCTAAAGACATATCCATTTACCCAGGCATTTTTCGCAATTACTATTCATCTGATTGCTTGCACCAACTACATTGCATTGTAATGAACTGCTTTTAACGGCTGGAATTCTGCTATTTTGCACCAGTTGGTGTAACTCCCAGTGTAATTATAAACACGTTGGATAGCTCCATGGTTTCAGCTGGGAGTTTGAATCCCCACTGTGCCTGCCAGATAGAGGCTGGATTTGAGGATCCAGAGGGTCCCTTCCAGCTCTGCAGTGCTCATAGAAAATAACTATAAAATATGGAAGAATTGTTGCAAATCAAGAAGTCAGCATAAGCGTTTGCTGTCATGCCCCAGTCTCTGGACTCATGGTCATCAGTAAATGCCTACACTGACTTCTTCCTTTGTGACAGTTTCCTGCTGAAGATTACACTGGTGGAGTTACACCAGCATGAAGGTGCCGGAAGATTCTGGCTGATAGATTTTACTGGGAGGGATGGGACTGCCCCCCCTTTTTACTGTTCTTCTCATAAGCCACTGGTTTTATTGCCCTGATTTCTGTTGTAAACCACGATGACATTTTTGCTCTAATGAAAAGCAGTCTAGGAAGGCTTGTGTGTGTGTGTGTGTTCATTCTTCACATGGCTTGTAATTCCCCCCCGCTTGTGTTCTCAGTGAGTTGATACTTCTTGATCAAGTTGCTAAAAAAGAGGACAGAAAGGCATGGTTATTGGTCAAGTTTGTCTTAGTTTGTGTTTTGCCAAGAAGACATGCAATTCAGTGTCTCCCATCGACAAAAGAAGTAATTAAGTTATTTCTTCCATGCTGCCTAATCAATTGGTTTTGTATGCAAGCACTTCTAAAATGTTGAAAAGATGCTTATTCTCTCTCTCTCTCTCTCATACACACACAGACATTTCTTGCCTTTGAACCATCATCGACCCAATGCTAAACTGATGTAAGCAATAACCTACTATCAAAACTTTAGCAAAGCCATACTGAATATACCAGTGTGGTGTGTAGCAGATAGAGTGGTGGACTAGGACTGAGGGGGCCTGGGTTCGAATCTCCGCTCGGCCAAAGAAACTCACTGGGCAAGTGGAAATAGTTAAGCTACCCCAAGAATATCTCGCCTTGAATGTCCTGTTGCTTTGCACCCGCATTTGTTGTACTGAGGCTTGAGTAGACACAGCTAGGGTTGATTTGGGCTTTGTGTCCGTGATGGGGGGGGAGGTTCCAGCTGGTAAGTTCTTTGGTTTTAGTGTAGACGGTACTAAAGAAACCGTATTGATGATGGAATTTGGTGTTGTAGAAAATATCCATATATTTTCCTTAACGAGTTACACATTTTTCCCAGCCTTCCCTATTTCCTGGAAACATTTCGGTCTCTCTGGCATTCAAATGTTGGGCGGGGGGGGGATTGTTTAAGAAATGTAGATAGGTTTTTAAAAAGCTGTTCTCCTTAGAAGTATATAAATGCCTATCTTAGCCAAATAAGAAAACAAGCAGACATGCTTCTGGCATCCTTTAAAGGATCCTTAGATGATTACATTTGTAGGGGGGAAAACAAGACATTTTTCTGGATTCCATTTCACTTTTGTGGGGGCCTCTCAATCTCTCTCATTCACTCACACGCCAGCAAAAGGATAATTTTTTTTCCCCCAGCAAGACATCTGCAGCTGCTGGGTTCGATAAAACAAAGCAAATAATAGTCCTGCCCTTGAGATCAACTGCGTCTTTTGCAGATAAAACAGCTGATTAATTGGAAATTTGTTCTCACCAGGGGTGGCAGATATATAAAGAAGGTTGGATTTCCAGCCTTCCTATAGGATGCTGGCTGCAAATATTTCTTTAATTGTCGTAGGAAACAACCAACTGGATGAAAGTGAGGTTGCCGGGAAATGGCAGAACCCTTTAAAGCAAATGGTGGGCCAGCTATGGCCTTCCAGCCATCCTAGTGGGACAATAAATCCCATCGTCCTTCAGCACCAGGTATTCTGGCTAGGACTGGTGGGCATTATGGTATGACGACCAAAGACTGGAAAATCATTAGTTTGAAATTAATTTGTTACCCATATTTTATGATAAAGCAGCACAAGTCAGCCTTCCGTCTTTCCGAGGTTGGTAAATTGAGTACCGAGCTTGCTGGAGGGAGGGGCGTTGTGTAGCCTGCATAATTAAAAATTATAAACCACCCATCAACTGCCTTAAGTACTGAGTGGTATATAAGCACCATATGTTGCATTGTTGTGAAGGCAAAGTGGGGAAAACCATGTTCCCAATCACAAGGTCTGTGGAAGAAAGGCAGAATATAAAGGCTATAAATACATGTGCTTTAATTAATTGGCCTGCAGTGTTTCAGGTGAAGAAAGGTCTTCTTTAGATTTACCTAAAGATGGCACGAGAAAAGTCTCTTTGCGGTCTGGAGACATGATGGTAACCCTTACAACAGTCCTGTGAGGAAAATCACCAGAACTGCCCCATATCACCCACGAGATTCCTGAGAGCTTAAAACCACAGCAGAAGTGGTCCCTGAATAAGGGAGGAAATCTCGAAAATGCCATGTTACTTACAGGCGATAAAATGTTATTTGCAAAATGTTAACACGTGCAAACAAAGTATAGTCTTTTGCAAAAAAAAACCCCAGCCAGTTTCATATCATAACATTCACAGACACTGCATTAAAGCTTTGTCAAAGAAAACAGAGGCAGAAGAGAGGATTTCCAGCAAAATGCTGTATTTTTGCAAGTGGAATATGTCCGTAGCCAAGAAGAGTTCCAGAAGAGATTGGAGGTGTAAATCTTTGCTTTTGTGGCCTACTATCTGGCTAGAATGAAGAGCCTGCAAGAGGAGGGAAAAAAGCTGAAACGTGGAGAGGGTTTGGAGAAGGATCATTATTTTTACCATTTCTTGCTGGGTTGCTGATTTATGGCCCATCGGAAGCAGTCGGGTGGAACAGATCAGAGTTGTGGGGGGGGGCAGGGTTTTATGAGAAGACAGAAGAACGTGGTCCTCTGAATGGTGACATTGATGAGATTTGGGAGCG